GGAGTGCACCACAACGCCCTGCTGGGAGAAGTCATATTTTAACATGGAGGCTGCTATTCCCTGCGGCAGTCATCTAAAGGCAAGGGAAATCTAACCCTTGGGTACTATGTCCCTGGCCCCTTCCTCCCTTGCACTGTTCCTTCTCTCTGCTTCCCAGCCGCCATGAACCATGTAACTTTGCTCTACCACACCCATCTGCCACAGTGTTCCTGCCTTGGAGCCGGGTGACCATGGACTGAATTTCCCCAAACCATTTGCTAAATTAAGCCTTGCCTCTTTCACATCATGGGCATTGGGTATTGTGTCTCAGCAATGAGAAAATGGCTAATACTCCTAATTATGGGGCTACTGTTTTAGTATCATTGCTATAAATATAATGAGTATCAAAGAAGAAAATATGTTTCTTGTTCTTATGTCTTGAAGGAAAATATAGGTAGCTTTCGGGTTTTGTTTTGTTTTGTTTTGTTTTGTTTTTGGTACCGGGATCAAACTCAGGACCTTGTGCTTGCCAGGCAGGTACATACATAGATTTTTAAACTCACATAATTTCTTTTCATAAACTTAAAAATTCCTTCAGTTATTATAAAGATCCTAGAAAAGATGCTCTTATCTAAGAAAATTAGAGACTAATGGGAAGGGTTGGGAATGATCTGCCTATATACAGGTGTGATAGACAATGGTGCATGTTTAAAATGTTTTAAAATTATTACAGTGAAAGACACACTGCCCTTAATCCCCTTCAAAATACTACTCCTTGCTCCCAACACACTTACCCCATCATCCTTGCCACTTTCTGAAGCAGTCCTGAAAGTCATCTTTCATGAGGGTCTTTGGTTGCACTGCCGTGGCTGCCGTGGCTGCCGTGATGTGCTCACTTGATTCAAAATGTTTACCTTTCATGGACATTGTGACCTTGGGGAAGAGCCAGAAGTCACACATTGTCAGGTCTGGTGAAGGTGGGCGAGGACACATCAGCAGTGTGCTTGCCAGCCTGCTGTTCTGTTGGATGGCAGGAGCATTCACAGTGTTTCCCATCACATTGCCTGAAGACATTCGTGAAAGAGGACTTCCAGAACTACTTGGGAAAGCGGCGAGAGCGACAGGATGAGTGTGTTTGAAGTGAAGCGGAGTATTTTGGAAGGGCTTAACTGCAACGTGCCTTTTTCTTCATTTTTTTCTCATTTACATGCACTCTATATTTTGATCAGTCCTTTTAGCATTTATTAAAATTAGTAAGTGCAGGGCCAGGGATTTAGCTCAGTGGTTCCACCGCCTGCCTCGCAAGCGCAAGGTCCCGAGTTCTCACCCCAGTAGCAAAAAAAAAAAAAAA